AACTGAGCTCCTTGTGGTCCAGGCAACTGCTTAAAATGTATTTGAATGTCAATAAAGCACATGTGGGTTTGGATTTTAATGAAGTGGAGTCATTTTAGAAGTTATTTGGAATACGTCGCTATTTTGATGCTTTTTACTAATCCATTTTTGAGTTTTTTCCTTATTTACTGTTTTATATCAGCAGAGGTGACGTGCCATGTCCTGATGGCTGTCAGGAGTCTCGGTCTATATGTGGCCAAATTAAATGATACAGATAATTTTAGGTGTCTTTTCAAGTCACATGAAAACTTGGACATGCAGCTGAATCTCTCAGAGGTTCTGAAGGTGATGAAAAATACCTGAACAAGTCACCTTTAATTGTGAAGAAGAAGAGGGGAGCTCATTGAAGCAAAGGGTCTGATTTCTCTGTTTTTTGAGTGAAATAGGGGTTAATTATTAAAACAGCACCATTGACCAAGGGCCTGGAGTCCTGAGCAGCCCTGGCAGTTGGGAATAAAGAAATAATTTGAGTTTTGGTCTGATGGATGCATTTTAGCTTTTCATTTTTATACAAATGCCACCTTTCAGTGCAGATGAATGCAATCACTATTTTGATATATAAATGTATTAGCACAGCCCACTGGAGTCTGAGTTGTTTTGTTGCCCAAACCCTGTCACCTCCGTGCTCCACGTGCATATTTAAGTCCCTCCAGGTAACCCTGCATTAGCAGGGAGCAAGAATTAGTGGTGCCTTGTCAGTGCATGATCATCAGCAGGAATATTGGAATTATCTGAGTGCTTCAGATTGCTCAGCACAGGGCAAACAGCACTGAAACCTCGGCTGTTTGTGCACTCAGGTGTGCAGGAGGGCTGTTCTTTGGTTACACTTTTTAATCAACACCTGAAGTGTACTTGAGGCTCTGTTAAAAATGATTTTTTTTTTTTTTTTTGTTTCATGTAATAAAAGCAGTGGATGAATGTGTTCAAGGCTGCTCTGGTGGGGACAGGACACTTGCACTGTCATCCACATCCTGGAGGAACAATCCCCAAATTCACACTCCCTTCGCTGTGCTCTGCTGGATTTAAGGGTGAGCAGATGTGATGAACTGGGAAGGGTGGGGAGAAAAGGGAAATCCCTTCTGTGGTCTGCTGACACCAGAAATCCCTCTGGTTCTTGGCTGACTTCATGGAATAYGAAGATTTCTGGTTGATGGAGTTTGTTCAGGCTGGCCACAGTTATTGGTTTTGGGGTTTCTAGTGCATTTTTGGGGTTTTTTTTTCTGGAATATAAAGGAATTAATTGGTTTTGAATCCAGCTTAATGGGCCTGGATCATCATTTCCTTTTCACTTTGAGGTTTAGGCAGTGAGATGGAAATAAAATCTGGGTCTCTGGCCAGGCCAGGGTTGTGATTTAAGAAAGTGAAATTGGGAGCAATGAGGCAAAGTGCTTAATCTGAAATGAACTTTAAAAATAAATCATAGAATCCTAGAATGGTTTAGGTTGGAAGGGACTTAAAGACCATCTATTCCCACACTTTCCATTGTCCCAGACTGCTCCCAGCCCCAATGTCCAGCCTGACCTTGGGCACTCAAAGGGATCCAGGGGCAGCCACAGCTTCTCTGGGCACCCTGTGCCAGGGCTGCCCACCCTCCCAAGAAAGTAAAAAAATTACTGTTTTATTATTTTTTTACAACGCACTCGTAGTATTATTTTCCCTGATTGCAAGAATTTAATGTACCTTRTTTTCTATTATTGTTAATGCACCTGGCCCTGCATTTAAATGCTTCTCAGCTGCCTTTTTGTGCTGTTATATCTGATTCCAGAGCGAGACTTCCTAAGAATATGATTAACCCTCTGGGTCATCTTATAATGTAATTATTAATGATTGATTCTGTTTATCCTTGGGATCAATATGAGAAGCAAAAATGGTTTGGCACATATTTGGGGTTGATTCCTTCCATTCAGTAAATATGATCTGGTGACAGGGCCGGTATTGGTTTATTACTCGGAACGTGTTTGATGAATCTGAAGTGTGTAATTAGTTTTATATAATGATGGTGATATGTGGGGTTTTTTACATGACTTATGTTAATATGGCCAATAGTGTTAACRTCTCCTGCCACTAATAGTTAGGGTGGGGATGTATAGTAATTGATCTTCCTGGGAGTGCTGTAATGTAAAAACAATTCCGGCTGTTTGAAGTATATTTTACAAGTGTGCATTGGGCCTTTGGGATGTTATACTGAAAAACCCAATTGTACAGTTACCATGGGAACCCAATTAGAATAGATTGCTGGATCTTTTTTTTTTCTTCCAGGCTTTCATCTTGACCAAAAAATGTAATGTACTTTAAATGTTTTCATATGGAATTTTGTTCGTATAGTCGCTCGGTGTAATGGCTGGTTTTKAATTTTAGTGCTGAACCTGAGTGTTCTGTTGAGGATCCTGAGGACTTATCCTTCAAGGAGAATCTTCCTTTAGTCTTTAAAAGTTGATCAAGTGAGAAAAAAATAGTTTTTATTCATCCAAGTTCTTAGTGCCATCTCATGWACTCATCAGGCTGCTGTCCTGTGGGAAACAAAAGTGTCTCAAAGCCCAAGGACTTCTGTTCTAGATCATCTGCAAAGCATGGCTGAAGAATTTCCTGCCCTTCAAGGATCTATTTTTGATGTCACCTCTGGTTTTTCTTTGCCCTTTTGGTCYGTTGATATCTCCAGAGGTTTGGGATGCTCACAGGATGGGGCTGTGATGTGTGAGCARAAGTTTTGGGGAGTTTGGGGATGTCTTGGAAAGGCCAAGGGGAGCTGGGGCAGGAGAGATGGACACGAACATCGTGGTGAGGATATTGAAAAAATCCTCTGGGATTTTCCACCCTACTCGTTACTCCCTTTGCTTTATCCCACTCTGCAAATGCAGGAGGCAATTTCYCATTTTGGTGAATTTCTTGTTTTGGTGAGGTGATTATTGGTGTGAAGGTTGTAGTTTTTTGAGGTTTGGTTCTGGTGTCTCAGTGTCCAGAC